TTCTTTTAAACAGAGGACATCAACCTTTGCAAGTTTAGCTTCATCAAGGAGCATGCAGCATTTATAAGGTGTATTTAAACCCCTGACGTTATGGGAGTATATTTTCATGACGATTTAAGAAGAGGTGATTAGGGAAATGTGTTTTGTGTTTGCTCTTTGGTGGTGTTGAGGTTAGTGCGTGGGGCATAGTGCTAATAGAGAATAGTGATGCTGTGGGAATTTTAAGCTGCTCTGGAGGTTCATCATGGTGCAGGGGTGTACCCGGTGCTGTACAGGTAAGGGGGAACCATAACATACATGAACAAGTACATAAACAGAAAAATAACATTGCAAACAAAGTACATACAATTGTTCCCACACAGTGGGCATGGTTATAGCGGACCCTGGGTAACCCGGCTGGTTACCTCCACTATTAATGAATGAAGAGACCCATTACCCCCCAGTAACTGGACGACACACAGTTCCAGGGGTACAACAACAACTTTATTGGCCACATTCAGCTTTATACTTTTCCCCATGCAAGGGGTGGATCACACACAAAGACAATGTCCCCTCCCAGGGGTCGTCTAACAGATCCGAAACCCCAGTCATTTTGTCCCCTGTTCCCACCACTCAGTGTCCCCTCCCAGGGTCCTTCCCCTCCAAGGGGTCTCCTGATGGAAACGGAACTCCAGTCCCTTTGTCCCCTGTTCCTGCCACCCCTCCTCAGGGTTTCCTACCTTCCGTGACCAGGGGGTCTTCATCCCATGAGCCTCTGTACCTGGGAGCTGCAGCGCAGGAAAGCTTCCCACCTCCTGGACTCCCAGTTACAGAAAGCCCGCCAAACCGCCATTGTCCCCAAAGAGTGTCTCCACCAATCTCAGGGACCCCCAGAATAGTAACCACCATGAACAGCCTCCGCTCGCGGGGTCCCTGGATGAAACCATGCAAGGGAAGCATCTCCTTTCGGGACACAAATGCTCCCCCTGGCTGCCGCTCGTCTATAGGAACGGTGGCCACTCAGGGAAGCACTAATTAATTACCTCCCTTGAGGTTTCACAGTTATGTTGTGAGTAGCCAACGTTCTAATTGATTGGTGCGAACATTCCAAGGGGCACAGAGGAGGTCTTTGCTTGGGAACTTAACGAGGTAGGAAGCAATCCACTAATGCTCCCCCATGGATGGCGTTAGTCTAATGAACCGGCCGCCACCCAGGGTAGGGTAGAGGGAAATACATGACTAAGATAGGGAAAATACACAAAAGGGTTGTTAAGAAAGTATCACACATCACAGAACAACCTGGTCAATTCGCAGTTTAGCGGCAGTCCCGCTACCATGGTATAGCAAGTGTATACCATGGGGGGAAGTGGAGGATTGAGACAGGTCCTTCATTGAGTGGCCAGGTGAGGCTAAATGGTCAGTGGTTTCGTTTCTGTAAGGCGAATCAGCTAAAGAGATTAAGGTTTTTTTTTGGGGGGGTTTGTAAAAAAAAAAATCAGGAACAGGGAACGTTGACCCTTATGGTCTTTTGCGTCTCTTCAGACCAGCGCATGTAAATGCAATGACCAAAGGATACAGCGATTATCTATTTCTAGACATTGCTACCACTTTATATATAGGTCGGCTAGTTAATTATATTAATACCATGCTTGTAAAATTGAGGACAAACAAAGTGGTTTGAAAAGGAATGAAAACATTAAGATATCTTATCTTGTTTCGAGGGTGGATTCTTGTAGTGGTTTCATATGTCCAAAGATGCATTGAGTCTTGTTGGTCTTGGCAAAAGTTCTGTGGGAGGAGCAGTTTAGGCAATCTTCCATTCAGTGGACACTTGCCAAATTCTGTTAGTGGTCCCAGGTACATCAGAATCTCGTAGTTCCCAGGATTTGAGCATGAGGAGGCCATCTTCTGGAGTTTGGAGCCCTGTAAACTTGCAGTTTCTGTGGACTAGTAGCTTCATCGGGTATACACTGATACCTGATTTGGTTTGTTTTCAGGATATCCACGACAGGTTGGAAGGATTTGCGTCGTCAGAGTGTTGCAGCTGAGAGATCCGCATACACATGAATAGGTTGGTATTATTGTGGAAGGTCTTTTGATAATCAGCTGTTACGCAGTATGATTTCCATTATGTGGAAATAGTGTTCTCTTAGGATCACATCCCTGGGAATGGAGACAGAGAGATGTCTGGGTTTTTGGACCCTATGGATTCTATCCAGCAATAGCATATCTGCTGGTATGTCTGGTGCCAGGGATTGGAAATAGCCGTGTACATACGTGTGCAGAGATGAGGAGTCCACCGCTTCAGGTATGCCTCCTTGATCGATCTTCAGCATCCATGAGCTAGGACTCCATGGTGTCTATAAGTTTTTGTACATGGTTTGCCATATCATTATGAGCTGTGGCAAAATCTCCAATTTTGCTTTCCATATGTGAAGTTTGCACCCCCAAGTCGCGCATTCTGCTTCTACACTTGTGGTCCAATTTACCATTAGTGTGTCAAAAAGGGACTTCAGAGAGTTCATTATGAATTGTCTGGTGATCCCTTCCCCTATAATAGGGCCATCAGGTTCGATATGCATGCTGCTGTTTGAGGCTGAGTTGCCATTCATGAGGGTCTGCCTGCGAAGCCTGTGAACTTTGGACGGCTTTGTGGCTGAAGAAATTCAGTGTTTCTGCCTTCTTGTGGGCTTTTTTGTGTTTGTCCTGGGACAAGTTGGTCGCCAAGGTGAGGTGCTGTGTTATAATTTCGCCATAATAGTATGTTGTGCGGGGTTCAAATGCTGGAACTCTGATTCAAGAATCCATCTTGTCCGTCGGTTGGCCATGCCCCCCATATTGGGGTTATTTTAATGTTGTGGCTGGTCAGTGTATCGGTGTCATTGTGTGCTACTGAGGGCTTGTTTACAACGTTGCTTTTTTTCTTTAGTAACCAACTTCTTCTAATATCTGTGCACGCAGCTATTTTTACTGGAGGCAGTCTTAGTCCTGCAATGTAAACATTGCAGTTTCTCTGCAACTGCTATGTTTTACATTACAGCACTAAGTGCAATAGGGACACATGTACACATGTACCCAGACCAATGAGTTGATTTGGTCTGGGAGCCTATAGGGTTGAAGAGAATTTTTACCATTTTCTTTTTCACTTTTTTTTTTTTTTGTTTGATTCATATGGTTTAACCCCTTAAGGACCAAACTTCTGGAATAAAAGGGAATCATGACATGTCATGTGTCCTTAAGGGGTTAAACCCCTGGACGATACTGGTGCTGAGTTTTTTTTAGGTGGTGACATGGGAACATTGTTTTGAGTGTGTACAAAAATTTAACAACAAGGTCCTAAACCTGGTGGTAATTTGTAGGTGCTATAATCTACTGGTTGTTGTTAATAGCTACAGTTTGAAACTATTTACTGAGAAGATCTTTAATGAACCTAAACTCAGAGGCCTTATAGTTCTCATGCCATTGTCTGGGTCCTTTTATAGACAGAGTTAATTCCTATCCAATCATTGTGCAGTCCAGGAAACCAACTCAACAAAGACACAAATGAGAAAGCCCAGTAATGTTTGCAGAGTGGTGTAATAGCACTGGGTAGCACCCAACCGAGCCACTCAGCTGGAATCATGCTTGATATGGGATACGTAAAAATATATTGTTTTATACATACATAGCAATATTTTTTTTATATGGAAATGTATGACCCCTCTCTCTCATTAACACTTATTAGAGGCATGCCCCAACTTATATTAATTAACCTTGTATCCATATTTACCAGAGAATGTAAGAAATGGAATAAAGGCAGCACCTGTTTAATATAATAAACCTTTACATCCTGGGTAAATATTTGCTTAATTTCTAGGTTGGGGCATTGTGCTGATCATTTTATTTCAGATGTGATGCCTGCCCCAACTTAGGTGGGGAAGAAGAGAGAGCAAAACATTCAGCTAGCTCCTATACAGGGCTGGATTTAGAACTCAGGTGTCCGTATTTATATTAATCTCCCCCCGCAAATTGGGAGGGAAAATATTTAGTATAAACATAGTAAATAAGTTTTATCACAGATGTTATAAGTGGCAGTGTGGCATTCCAACCCAGATCTGCACAGATGTGTGCCAGGGCCAGACGATCGCACTTCCTGCAGTTACAGTCACACACACTCAACAAACAGTAGCACACAAATACATATGGGGCTCCTGAATGGTGCACAGAAAGGTCTACAGCAAGCACCTACCTGAAAAGACTGGTATTGCTGAATGCAGGCCCTCTATTCAGCTCAGGTCCTGTGGGGATTCCATAGGGGCCTGTGCCTGGTGAGACACTTCCGGCTAGCAAGTGAGGAGGTTGGCTGCCTAGTAGCAATGTGCCTCCCTAACCGGCCACTGAACAGAGGCTCAGCTCATTCTCATTGCGCCCCTGCAGAGGCCCCCAGGCAGGAGAGAGAAAGATAGTCTTCCGGCTGCTGCATGATGCGTCTCTGTGGAGCACTTCACTTGACATGAGGAGAGAAAGATATCTCCACCAGCATCCCCTGCGCATCGACAGGTACAGGATTATCACAGTTAATAAATAGAAATTGATTTATAGAAGGGGGCTTGTAGGCTCATGCCTACTCTGCCTGTTTATAAATACGACCCTGCTCGTATATAATTCATAATATATATTTGAGTTTTTACGGGTCTCCACTGTAGAACTGCGAAGATAAATGTAGTGAGTCTTGTGTATGTCCAGTGAATATCAGCGTTGTTGCAGGTATAAAGATGACGTAGACCTGCCTTTTGTTGGTTTAGCAGTAATGCCAACGAAACATAGATATAAATCTATGAAACCTTTCATTACCTGCTGACCATTAAATTATGTCGTGGTTTCCATAGTTTTCAATGAGGCTTATTGCCTGTAATCAGATTGACTTTTTTTTTGTATGCTTTGTATTGTCTTTTTTTTGTATGCTGCCATAAATGTCTGCTAGGGAACAGACATTTACAATACAAAAAAAAAAACAAAGCAAAGAAAAAACAAGCGTTATTGCACATATTTTACTAATAAATAATGGATATTTATGACACATTAACACATTTAAAAAGACTTTAAAACGTGGTCTTTCTGAACATGAAATTTTATTTCTATTTACAAGGTCTAGTAATACACTGATGATGATAGTTGTTAGTTAGTTGCTCTAGACATTAGAATACCTCAAACATTAAGAACATGAACAGGTGACTAAACAAAATAATCATACAGAAAAGATCCTTTTTTTCACATTCATACAAACAGCATTGATATGCAAATCACTTTATTCAAAATAAACATGGTTTAGTATGAAGAACTGTTCTCAATCTAAAGGGGAAAAAAATAACAGAAAAAAACAACACACAAAAGCAAGCTTAAGCAATGAAAATTGCACTGGCATATATATTTATACAGATATTGTACAAATATTATACTCACACTGTCACTGGTCAAATTATCTTGAAATTCACGTACAGTAATGTCATATGTTTACATATGATGTCTATTTCTGAACGAAAAGGTGCACACAACAACTATAGATGACTCCATATTAGTTGTTTTTCCATTTTTTTTTCCTTTTCTTTTTTTTTTTCTCTTTTTAATTTATTTCTTTTTATTTTTATCTATTTCCCGGCATGTAATTATGCAATTCTACACACGAGAATAAAATTCACAGCTTGGAAAGGTCTAATGGTAATTACAAAATCACGATTTTACTTTAAATTTCCATTCTCCGGTAAACTAAGTATATATTACCATGTGGAATACTGCACCGTTAACGGTTTCTGTGTTAATACTTAAGTAAAAATAAACATACGTCATGGCATGTTTTGGCTAAAATATCAAATTTACCAACAAATAATGCACTTCTTAAAGTTTGTTTATTTGGTTAAACATATCACGGAGTAAATTTTTAATCTAGTTTCTTAGTTGTTCTTACAGTTGTTGCGAAAACAGATTTTAAAATGTTCTAAAACAAATGGATCTTTACAGACAAATGAAAAATAAAGTTGTGTGTAAAAAAGTGTAGTTTAAAAAAAATATACACATTCAATAGTTCTAAGTTAATGTAATTTTTTTAAAGTATTTTCTACAAGAAACTAAATTACCATATTAATATATTTTACTATATTGTTTGAAATGGACTAACCTAGCTTCTACTTTCATTTTACCTCTAAGGTCTTTGGACAGGCACAGCTTTTCTTTCTCTCTCTATTATTAACTATAAGCCATATTTCATATTAACCATAATTAATATTTCACTTTTATTTTTATCATTTTAAAATGTGTCATACATGTTAGTTGCACCGTGTTCCACATAAAACACAGTTTTACAAGTAAAAAAAAAAATCAATGTGATTCAGTCATTGTTTTGTCATTTGTCAATATGTAATATGTGTGATGCCATCTTAGAGCCCACTCAAATATTAAGAAGGCAGACCTATAAACAATAAAGTGATAGCAGCGTTGGAAGCAAATAAAAAGATTTCGAGATAAAACACATCAATGAATTTACCTTCCAACAGAGATACGTCGGCACCAGTACTAAAATATGAAAATATTTCAGTAACCAAATGCACATAGATGGTCTTACGCTATCCTATAGCTAGCCACATACATTTAAGTGACCCCTGTTATTGTGAGAACATTTTCTCTACTCAGGCAATTTCTCATTCCCTGATACTCGGTCTTCTGTCTAGGGTAAAGAGAAATGAGCGTTGTCTTGGTATAAACACTGATACTGGGATACTGGTATGTTGCATTAATGATTTGAGGACAGACTAACTTCAACAATGTTTGGTCCTAAAAAGTAGGGAAGCCTACCCTGATAAGGAATCAACTTCATTCTAAATGAAGTAGAACTTGCTCCAAATGATACAAGAGTAACATAGCCCCAATTTTCGGCTCCTGTCCAGCCATCTGAAATTTGTTCTTGTGTGTCCCTCTTCTTAGGACACCAGAGCTCTGTTCCAGATAGGTGCAGTTTAAATGTGTCCTTAAATATACTATCACTGTGTGACAATAATTGTAAGCTTGGCATGTATTCTAACACAAGAAACACACTGCATTTTCAAGTGGGCCTGCCTAAATCACGTCATCAGTTGCATGCATGGTGTCACTGACACACCACCTACAGCCTCCCCATCCTGCTTGTATATCTACCAATGTAGAGAGATATTGGAGTAAAGGAATACCTCCATATCACAAAAACTTGCATCTACATCTCCAGAGGAGGTTAGGGCTTGGAAGCTATTTTTAAACTGTCTGCACTGGCTCTTTAGGAACAAAGAAACAGACACAATTCAGTCCAAATATTCCTTAAAAAGTCATCTAGTAAATGGAAGGAGCTACCAAGGTAAGACTAAGACAATAAGAGGGGGGTCAACACAGGACACTACTGCTAGACTATAGATGTGAACACAACAGCTGTATATGTTCCAGAAGCAGACTGCAGGCTAATATAGACAAATGACAATAGCCACATGTATCTGTAGTGTGTATTTCAGTAAAACGCATTCACATGCTGCTTCAGAGAAGTCACATTATGGCAGGAAAGTAAAGACCTTTATTTGGGGATACTAGTTCATGAAGACTGGTTGAAGTTCGTTGGAATCTGGACTCTTCTTGTTGATGGAAAATGCTTGTCATAACAACACAATTGAGATAAAACGTATTTGAGATGTTGATTAGTGGGTACAATTCCATGCTATATCTTAAATGTATTTTCATTCATGATGGCAGTTACAAAATGAACTTTTTTTTTTCATCTGATCAACATTTTTGCAGGACATTTTGCTAGCAAGATGGATCAAGTGATATTTCTACCAAAACCTGCACGCTTTTAAAATTTTAGTTGAAATGTTTAACTTGAAAATACTACATTATCAAATTTTGCTTCTATGAATGTAAAATGAAGATGCTTTAACAAGCACAAAACAAAAGAAAAAAATGTGGTGTTTTTCATATTGCAGTTTTTCTCACAGATTATTGAAGCACTCTAAACACCGGTTTGACACAAAACTGAGGAACAGCCTCCACGGTATCCTACAAACCACTTGAACAAGCTGCAGTGGCTATGGTGCTTAGAGTGCCCCTTTATAATTAAAGTGACAAGAGGCATTTAATTAAAGCTATCACCACAGTTCCCTCTAAGCATTCTTGCTTAACGGATAAGCACTGAAATAGTTAAGAAACTATTTTTTTAAAGCATTCCAAAGAACACAGAGGGAACATTAACAACACTGGCAGACTTTTTATTTTGTATACCTCTTAACACTTATAAATATAAAAGTAAAAGAGGGGCATGGTTGAAAGAATGGAATATATGGCATCCCTGGTAATGTGTGCCAACAGGAGTGTCCAAAATGGGGGGGGGGGGTGCTGATGCACGAGATTGGGACGCAAGCTTGCAAATCAACCAAGCAGGACCACAAACATGTAGAGCACTGTGGAGGCATTCTTGCTTTGGAAGAAATACTCTGTAATGGCCATCCAGCAGCCCTGATTGTGCTTAATACTATGCTAATTTGCCGGTTTTTAGAGACTTAAAAGGGGTCCTCAATCTAGACTGTCCACCCTGATCTAATACTCTTGGTAGGCAAGTCAAATGATAATGTATCCAACAAGGCTGCTTTAGAACGAACGCTGGCTTGCCGGACGCACCTAAATGGTTTTATTAAATAGGTGACATTTCCACTAGAGCAAAAAAAAAAAGCTGTGCTTATAACACAGTGGCTATTCATCCCTCAGTCAATTATTTGAATTAAAGACCAAAAATAAATAAATGAGGCATGTATTTCACAATTCAGTTGATAAAATAGAGGAGTATTGGAGGAGACGTGGTAACATAGCTTTCTAGAATATTTGTAGCCATTTGTCCCTCTTTAAACAGGTGACTATCTTGGTCTTGCTAGCACAATACCTGCAGGTGCAAAAACAGTCTAATTTCACTAACAGTCTCACAAACTTTCATTTATGCAGGCACATTGACTTTGTGCAGCACACTGACACTGAGGTCAAGAGCAGGAGTACAACATCCCAGCCTAAGGCCCTGCTGGTCTACAGAAGCAGAAATCTAGACAGACAAAGCAACAAAGACAATGTCAAAACGGCTGTACTATGAAACTAATTTAACTAAAGGGCTACTTTTACTGCAGATGCCCCTCTCTTTGAATCCTAAGCCTCTCTTTTTCAACTTGCAGACGCTCCTTTTCTATGTGGAGCTTCTCTGATTCAAATTTCAATAGCTGCAGCCTCTCTTTTTCTAACTGCAAATGCTCCCTTTCAAGTTTTAATTTTTCAGCTTCTATGTCCAGTGGTTGCAAAACAGTCTTTTCTGCCTGGGCAAAATCATTCTCTAGATTTGGCTTTTCAGCATGCATAACCTGCAGTCTCAATTTTTCTCGTTCGATCTGCAACCTCTCCTTCTCAAGCTGCAGTCGCTCGTGCTCCATGTCCAAGTGCCGGAGCCTCTCTCTCTCTATTTGCAGTCTCTCTTTTTCTACCTGAAGCCTCTCCGCTTCAATGTTTAGGCGTTGCCGTTCTAACTCCAGTTTCTGCTTCTCCAATGTCACCAACAGATGAGAATCTTTGTATGGTATTCGGGTTATGGAGCTTAAGGTCCCAAACTCCTCGATTCGGGGAAATTCTTCGGGTAGGTCATTCTCCTCCCTGGAATCAGGCAGAACAGTGGACAACATTTCATCTTCTTCCTCAATCTCAAACTGTGAAAATAAAAAGCACAGAATGGTGATGTTTGTAAGAAAGCTATTTTGTGGGCTACAAATTATATTTCAAAAAAACGTCCAAAATGTAGACTGATTTGCCTGTTATTACAACAGCCAGAACATATTCTTAAAACCTACTGACCACTGGGTGATGTCACATCATACGATAAACCTCTACATACAGGATCCCTAATCTCAGTGCAGGACACATATATGGGCTTCTCTAAGATTGAAGAATATCTAGCCTTAGCAGTAATTCAAATTTCTTAAAATATCATAACAAATACATAAATCTGTGGTGTGTATCAGGGAATATAGTGAACTGAGGGTTCCCTGGATACTAGAGCAACAAATGTAAAAATTATTATAATATTTCCAGAACCCCCATGCAATAAACACACACTCGTACAATTAAACAGGTATACAAACACAAAAACATTTTAGAATTTGAGGTTGAAACTATGGAGACCTGAAAGGTATATTTTTCAAAATGAATTATCCTATTGTATGTACTCTATATAAAGGCAATATTAATGTCCACAGAGCAAACAGACTAAACAATAATAACCGGTAGTAATCTAGTTCAAATCTTTGGTGCCCAGCATTATTTTGGGTAAATTTAATAAACTTTGTCTTAAGGTATCTTAAGTATTTTTTTTTTTAAATCTTCATTTAAAAGGACACTCCAGGCTGCCACATATGACTTAATTTATTGGTTTATGCTTTCAAATACATGCACAAATTTTGAAACAATATCCAGTATTTGAAGTCCCTCTTTGCGCGTTATCTATTCAGCCGATCACATATGTTTCCATAAGAGCTTGTCCTATGAGCAGTGTTTTATTGGAACAGCAACATTTTCAGGCATTGCAGTGTAATAGTCAGTTTATCTATTTGAGCTAATAACTGACATACAACTCCCAAAAACATAAATCCTAAAATCGTATGTAGTATTTCTGTAGCATGCTGCAGGTTGGTAAATAGGAGAAATAATCAAAAAATACCAAAGATTAAAGGGGTACTATAGTCACCAAAACAACTACAGCTTATTGTATTTGTTCTGGTGTGTAGAATCATTACCTTCAGGCTTTTTGCAGTAAACACTGTATTTTGCAAAATGCAGTGTTTACATTACAGCCTAGTGATAACTCCACTGGCCACTCCTAGATGGCTGCTAGAGCTGCTTCCTTGGGCAGTGCTGTAGAGTAAGCAGCACTGTCATTCAGTGTCTCCACCCTCTGCATACAGACACTGAACTTTTCTCATAGAGATGCATTGATTCAATTAATCTCTATGAGGAGATGCTGATTGGCCAGGGCTGTGTTTGACTTGTGCTGGCTCTGCCCCCGATCTGCCTCCTTGACAGTCTCCGCCAATCCTATGTGAAAGCCTTGTGATTGTCTCAGACCATCACTTCTGATGATGTCAACAGGCAGAGGCAGTTCACAGGCAGGGCAGCAGCTTCAGGCTTGAATACAAGTAAGATGTTACTATATTTAGGGAGGCAAGTGGGGGTCAGGGGGCCTAGATGGTGGTTTTAACACTATACAGTCAGGAATACATGTTTGTGTTCCTGACCCTATAGTGTCCCTTTAATGAAAGGATAACCACCCGTACACATATTGCACACAATGTGTTAGTGCTTTGAGTGACTATGATTATTTCTCTGTATCTCAAATAAAACAAAATAGTATTCCATGCTGGTAACATCTTGCTTATCTGTTGAATTATGTTATATTTCTTATAAAGTTTCCCTAATTCAGCTAGCTTAACATAATAAGATAATTATTTATGAAAATGAACAATAATCACTAGAATTAAGTGGATTCTGACTAAATGACTAAGTAGAGTTCAGGTAAAAGTTAGGCTGGTGGTACACTGTTGAGAAAAAGGTATACTATATAAACCAATACAAAGATTAGAAGGAAGGAGATCAAGAAGACAAATCACTGGTGAAGAGGTCAGTTGATGATTATAAAGGTATTGAACAATGGATGATCACATACGGTATTTGTGAAGTTGTGAAGGTAGCATATTGAGCAGTTAAACAGCCTAGTAGTAATAGGACACACTAAACACCAAACTGAACACTCTAGTTTTGGTGTATATGTCATGCCAATGCAGTCCCACTGCTCACTTCCCTGATATGTAGGCGTTAAGTTGCTTTGTATATGCAGCCCTATGCAGTTGCTTTGTACATGCTACTTACACAGGCTCCCTACACTATAACTGAAAAAAAAGTCTAAAACACAGTGTGCATCATTTAGAATTGTTTATACCCTGCTCTGTTAATAGCCTGCAATAGCCTCCTGTGTGTGATTAAAGTTTAATTACAGAGCAGGAGATAAGAATTCTAACCAGACCATTAATACTTCTGCTTGAGATGCTGCACACACTGAGTTATTTGCACTTGTGTGCCGGGGCTAGTTACAACCCCAGCACACGTTACATCCCTGGCGCCCCAGAACTCAGGGCAAATAGTAGAAACAAATGCTTCTGCTATGGTGAGTAAGGCAGTACTGGGAGCTTCGCCAAGTGTTGGATTCCAGACAAGTTTCATCCTTTATTTTAAGTAGGGCATTATAAGTTTAAAAAAAAAAAAACTGACCTGGACCCGGACCCGGACAAAGAGTAACTCTTTAAGTTAACACTGTTTTGGTGCTTGGAGTGTCCCTTTAAAAGAATAACTGCTAATAATGCTATTAAAATAAGTACATCTATTATATAATCCTCTCTAAAATGAAAACATTCAAAACACATAACCGCTATGAAAAAAACTACAAGGACTTTACATTTTTGATAACTGTGAACAAATATGGATACATAGAAACTTCTATTTATAAAAATGGCTATGGGGAGCAGGTTCGAATTGGGTTTGGGCAGGTAACGATAACATTTTAATGAACTGGAAAAAATAGCAAACTTTCATGTTACCCTTGCTTTCAAAATAAGTAGCCCCAGGTCCAAAATATTGGCAGATATTTGCCATTTTGGTGGAGTACTGGGTGTGGAGAGGCAGAGTTATATATCCCCACGTTTTGGGGAGAAAAAAAAAAACCTGACCTATAGACTCAAAAATAAACAGGTGGACACAAGGCAATAAATCTCCCAGTTATGAAAATAAGGCCAAACCTGAAGCTTTTGGGGGCATAAAAACAAAAATTATCATGGTTCCATATTGTAAAAGTAAAGGTTTCATAAAACATTCCTGGTTTCCTAGTTCTGTTTTTATTCCTTTCAACAATTTTATTTCTCTTATAACATACCCATAGGTTTGGAGGTTTGGACACAGGTAGACATCTAAATAGTATGGTCTGTGGTTTAATAATTTGGGAGTGGGGCTGAGATGCACATTGATCTCTCCAACATTACGGGTCACATACCTGCTCATCACTAGGCGTCTTATTATACAGAATTCTATTTTGTCGAGAGTTGAGCTGGATTCCCAAGCATGGATGTGACACTCGCTTTTTCCAACTAGGACCCTGTAATGCCAGAAGAGGTCAATGTTTGTAGTTTTGTTTTCAGAGATAATTACTTAAATTTACAAGCTAATAATGATTTTTGGTATATGGTTAATTAAAGCTAGTCCTACTTGATGCTCAAATAACGCTACATTTTGTTAATCTTAACTGTAATGGTATGCATCTTCTAAAATAAATAAAAATAAATAAATAATTAGAATTAGCTCATAGAACACAATTTAATGAATAGGTCAATTCCACCGCTAAATGTAAAGTGAATGCAATAGATTCCAGCCATTGTTGGAGTCCAATACTGTGTAAGGAGCAGAATGCCATCGCTAATGGAATTCATCAACATATAAGCTTTTAATTTTAAAGAGACACAGTAATCATACAACTACTGCAATTTGGTGTAGTGGAATTGTTTCATGTAGTATCTGGTTGTTGTCCAAAGATTTTATGTCAAACTGTTTAGGAGGGGTTTGATAAAACCAAGGGCTCTTCCAGAGACCACCTCCTCCTTGGATTTATTGATAATGCAGAACAATTCTATGTGATCAGCAAAAAAAATTTCAACCCTGGATAGCATTGAACTGGCCATGCAGGTTGGATATCCTCTCAGCCAATCTCTACTTTGCATGGTCAACAAAATGAATATTGATAATCTGGGACCCACTTCTACATAGTATGATATAAACCAAGGGATGGTAACCAGACAATCTAGACAAAACAACCACTATACTGATCTAGTGATTACATTATTATGGTGCCCCTTTAAGATGAAATGCTGCATGCTCATTTAACTTTAAGAAAGAGTGGTAGATATGCCATACTCATTGACTTTGCCATGTTTAATGTGTTTTTTAACCTATTTTATGTGTTGATACACATACGGTCGTTGAGATTACTTTTCAAACTGGATATATTTTGATTAACTTATTCAACCTTGATACAATTTATAATTAGTATATAATACTAAATATACAACTTATTTTTAGCATATAGTATTCAAGAAGCCAGCCTATCATCTGTTTCCTTTTTTTCCCAAAATAAGTTCAATGTCATATCTACAAATTTTACTCACAAAATTATTTACAATTTAAGTTATTAAGGGTATTGAGAAATAAGAAAAATAATTAACTCATATTTTAAATCCTGGATACTTTGGAAAAAGTAGAAACATGAATTAAATTCTAAATGTTTTAAATTCTAAGCAACACATTTCATGATGGACACAGAAAGATCTTTTAATACACATGCATAAAAAGTGGGGAGAAGGTAGATAAGATGAAGTAAAAAAAATATTTATATTATATATTAAGTGTGGTAAAAAATATTGCTTAATTTAAAGAGCCAAGTTTTATTATCTAATGATAGAGTTTTTATTATAATATATTTATATATTCACTTTAATCATTGGAAATTCAAGTGTTAACCTTTGTTAGTGTAGTTATGTATTGGTAAATAAATCTTAAAACCCCATAGTCTGTCATGTATTCAGAGTTGGTAAAGTATAGAACACAGAGGTAAAGAGCCTCTGTTTCCCTGAATCATTAGGTCTCTTTTGCAGAGAAAGAGTGCATGGACTGAATTTCAGTGGCTGAAGGTTTTCCTAGGAATCATCACGTGGAGCAGTTTATATGAGGGGATTTGCCTATGTCGGCTTCTTGGACATTAAAATCAAAGTAGGCTCACTCGAGCCGGACTTTCTTCACTTCTTATACCTGTCATCATCATTTTGTCTGTCAATAAATTACTTGCTGTTATATGTCCCCACTGTTTAAATGTAAGGCACTGAAAAATATACTGCGGCTATAAAAATTTTATTATTTTACAACAAGCATGATGTAATTTACATTCACAGAGCATTTAGTAAGCCCTTTTCATGGCTGCTATGTTTACTGTAGTTTCAAAACAAGTCCTAGCACTGGGACGTAAATGTGGGACAAAAGAGGACATGGGCAAAGATACTGCTAATGAAGTAACACACGACAATACTCATGCACTCACCATTGCCAGCCAACCAAGTATGCAATTAATGATGCCGTGAGCCTGCACATTTGGGGACCCTCTATGGTGTCCTCATAAGTAGGACACATGCTTATGTAGGAGAAAAATGTTGCAACCTTAGGATATGCTAACCGTTTCACTTGATTAAAGGTTCCATTATGTTCTGTCAAGTGTGATGTGGATTTTTAATTATTGATACACTTTCTGCATGACTATCAACTTCACTTCAAAGTTCTTGTTCAGGGTGCAGGAAACCCAAGCTAGCGTGTACCTTTAGCTGGAATGCTGCAATTGTTTTGGAAATGTTTTGAATAAGCAAATTGCTTAAACTGTTATAATTGTTCTTTGTACAACTAGTAGTACATTAATACTTCTGTACTACATATACTTGTCGATAATCTTAAAATGTGTTCAAAAATATCTAAAAAGGAAAAACAAAACTAAAAACCTAGCATAAATAATTCCTATATAGCCATGCTCTCATTTGGACAACAAATTACCATTTTGAATTATCTTAATAAGTGTATTCACTGGCTCTTTAACACACCCTCCAGTAATGGAGAATAGAATCGTGCCCCAGAGCCTCATGGGCCAATCTAGAATTCCCCGGTGTAAATAAATATTTCTATAACTTAGACAGCAACCTTTCAATAGTTCTCCATGTTTTTTCTCACAGCATCTCTTCCAGTTACAAACTGCTTAGACAAACCCAATAATCGCTTCTCTTCAAAACTAATTCAAGACACCTGGCTTCGCTCAATGAAACACTGATTTTATCTCGTGTATAACATAAATTATGAGGTCACATTAAAAGAAGCTGATAATATGGACCCCGTCAAGTAGTCACATGCCAGGAGACCCCATAAGGCTTCATAAAGTGAGCAGGTCTCTCTGTAAACTACAGTTACCGTTTAAATTGACATGATCATGTACCTGTCGTCCCACTCATATTAGTAAGCAAATTACTTCTCTGAAACATTGAGAGGTTGCATTTTTACATACTGAAAAACGAACTGAATCTGTATCAAGATGGAACTCCTTACATTAACTAAAGACTGTTTTGGTATATTAAAAATAAAAATAACAAAAAAAAAAGGCCTTGTCTAGCCAGAGTATTGGATATATGTTTTTCTAAAATATGGTTAAAAAGACTGCATTCAGAGTCCTATTTACGGAAAGTGGGTATAATCAAACTTGATGCAGTTAATTTGATTGTTTGAATCCTCACTAATGGGTAAAATTACAGGTCAGTAGTGATGTCCCGAACGGTTCGCCGAACGGTTCGCCGCGAACGGTTCACCGCGGACTCATCATTGAGTAAACTTTGACCCTGTACCTCACAGTCAGCAGACGCATTCCAGCCAATCAGCAGCAGACCCTCCCTCCCAGACCCTCCCACCTCCTGGACAGCATCAATTTTGAAGCTGCATTCTTAGTGAGCTGTCCATGAGGTGGGAGGGTCTGGGAGGGTCTTCTGCTGATTGGCTGGAATGTGTCTGCTGACTGTGAGGTACAGGGTCAAAGTTTACTCAATGATGAGTCCGCGGCGAACCGTTTGTGGCGAACCGTTCGGGACATCACTACAGATCAGATATAAGTAACAATATTTGCAGAACACATTAGTAAAGATTACAAATCATAATAAAATAATCTACAAAGTATCTGCTACAGGGAAGAGCAGTATGGCGTGGGAAAGAGCAGTATGGCGTGGGAAAACAAAGTAAGTGTACGCTCAATATGTTAACTTGTAATACACATTTGTATTGTATTCCTTTACGTTTTATGCTACACAGGGTTAATAACTGAACTCCCCGTTCAGTTATTAACCCTGTGTAGCATAAAACGTAAAGGAATACTGTGTAAAAAGAAACAAAAAAAAAAAAAAACTCTTGCTTCACTCTTAATTTTACCTAAAATGTATCTGGTCAATCCCAACATTTGGTCAGTATACAGCCCTGTTGGTATTAGGTTTGGAGAAAACGTACTAAAGCATGTGCTGCAGTGTCTTATATGCTTTTTGCTTGTTTTATTTCATGCGTCATATAATTCACGGATTTATAGTTTTAGCAAAACCTGATGCTAAACATCAGTGTTTTATAAGTAGATACAAAAATAGCAATCTTACTTCAAAACTCTGGGGTTCTTCTTCCTCTTCAACTTTAATCTCCGCCATTGATTCGTTTGCTTCTCTAACATCAGAGACATTTTTCCACTCCAAACTTGACTCGCTTGTTAATACACTTGGTTTGTCATCCATGTCATCATTTATAGAATCATCCAAGTCTGACAGGGGTAAATGGAAGCCAGAATTTCCCAGCTTGACATCTGAATTGAGACGTTTCCTTTTAACAAGAGCCCTCCAATCAAGATATCTTCGCTTCACCTCCGTTCCTGTTCTTTGCTCTCCTTCGCCCAGTGAATTCACACATTCTGCTATTTCCTCCCAAGCTTTGCGTTTCATTTCATTAATTGTGGTATTAAGCTGCTTGGAAAAAATTACATCTCTTCTTTTTTTAATCTCCTTGAGTAAAGTTTGTGTTTCCTGAACACTAAAATTACTTTTTCTCTTTCTTTTCAATTGTTTCATTATTGTAGTTTGCGGTGTTACGCTTTTGCACTTGTTAGATGTATCAATACGCGACTTCCGTTGGAAAATCTGGGACAGCTGCCTCTTTTTATGTAATTTTGCCAGCTTAGACCTTTATAGTTTTCCTTTTCCTAAAGATAGAAATTAAAAAAAAAAAAAAATACTCCCATCAGCATAAAAATGTGTCGACAGTGAAGATTTAGATAAAGGATCATTTGCTACATTTCAATTTATCCCTGAGACATAATCATTTGATCATACAATATAGGATTCAATTCAAAATTTTGGAATATACCAATTGATAGTTTGATCTGCAACATTGTGGAATATGATAGCACATTACCAAAATAATAACTAGGCTACCTACAAACTCTGCATAATTAGTTGCCTTGACATATTCAACTTCTTCTACAAGGGAAAGAAACAAGGCAAACAAAGCTAGGCACAAATGAAAGATGCAGGAGCTCAAAGGAAACATCAGAATTTAAAATGGAGCCAAGAAGGGAGTAAACAATGATACCCTCACCTCTGCCTAAGAATTATTTGTGTGTGTGCAGCCCATTACTACTTCACAGAAACTATTTCAATGTCCTACAAAACCTACAGGTGAACAGTGACAAATTTAAACAAAAGGGACAAGAAGTATTGAAGTACAGGAAGCTAACAGCCTAGATGGACGGTTGATAGAGAAATTGTCCTACAGTCAGTTCTCCTACTCTCCAGGACAACAACTACGCAACATATGCTGTGGTTACTCCGCTAGCCAGCCAACTTGCACAGACTAGAGGAGCATAGGAATGAATGACTGATGAATTAGCAATGAAGCAATAGTACTATAGCACTTGGTGCTCAAGCAGGGTCCTATCATAGCACATGACCTAGGAGAGGTTGAGAGCTCCACTAGTATTACCAACAGAGCTTTAGTCATGGCAACATTGGAGCAAAGTAGTGTATTTAATCAAAACAACGGAATACATCATTTATCTCTATGATAAATGATATATTTATTGCCTATCGGTGGATTAAGTTGAAGCGAGTCTCTCCTGACAAGTCCACTTCAAGTGGCGTTGAAGTCAAGAATTCAGATGCGTGTACACAATCCATTCTAGAAGGCAAGGGGTAGTGAAGATGTAGGTAGGTTGATAGGTAGACAGAGATATTGGATCATGTGAGGTTTTGATTGAAGGTACCAGAGATTGATTGGAGATGTTAGTTAAGGATGCAAACCAAAACAAAGGAAATGAGCTAAGTAGGTTGTAAGGGGATGAAATCAAGGAGAAAGGTGGTGTGGCAACAGAAAAGAGTAAGTCCAAAGATATCTGGTGAAAGGGTAAAGATCTGAGGAAGCAGTGTGTGGATAATGAAAAGAAAACCTCAGTGAGGTAGGCTCGATGTTTTGTAAACTTTTTAAGATTTTCATAAAAAGAGAAGAAAAATTCAGAGAATGTTTCCAATTTATGATTGAAAGGAATGTAATAGTGGCCAAATAACAAAAAACAAAAGTATCCTTTCCACAGTAAATATGTAAAAGACAGCAGAAGAAACCCAGTGTCCTCTAGGAGACACGTGAAAATATATGAAGAGAAATATTGCAGCTTGTAAAATGGATTTGAAAAAAATATGCAAGAAGAGAGAATAAAACAAGTAAACAGTTCGAAAAATAGAAATGAAATATCCTCTTTTATCAAAATTTTTATAAAGGAACATTACAAAGTTGTTAGTGGTTAGATTAATGGAGTGTGGCATGGTGACTGGGTTGAATATTGAATAAGACGTTTAAAGGAGGTGCTTGGGCTTGTAAGATAAGATGGCAAATAGTGGGGAAAAAAAGTAAGGTTGTTAATAAAGAAGAGGGCTGAACATAAAAATATCTTTAGAAGCAATGAGCTCGTTTTGTATTTCAGATGAATGTTTGAACTTTTAAGCAAAAGCTTTATTTTTCCCGATCAGAGAGATTTTCAGGGATGAGCTGAATTTCTCACGTGGGTCATTGCAAGGTTGATGATGTCAGTCATTTGAAATATAATATTTGGCTAAAATAAACCTAGATTTAATAGTTCAGAGATATGATATCTATAGGGGATAGTTTATTGTAATTTCCTATCAAACAAACCCATAAATTCCTACCTGGGATTAAATAATTGGGCGGAACAAAATAACATGGTAAAATAATAAACTAGAATATAATTATTGGGTTGTTTTTTTTTTTTTAATACTAGGGTTTGTTGAAAGGGCACTCTTATTGCTTGTCACACAATATATAATCCATACTGTTAGAACTTGATTATTTTACTTTGCACTACCCATTTTGGGGTGTAAAGAATTAAAACATTACTACTATAAATTTATATTTTAGTAAAATGTAAATTATAACTTTTAAAGGGTTTCAGGTTTTTTTCTAAACAGGCAGAAAGGGATTGAAAGATCTGAATTAATAAGTATCATCATTTTGGACAAGCAGAGCCAATTCCTGTCATGTTATTTTAGAGTTGGGAGGTTTCCATTGAGGTTAAGAGAATCTCTTTTCCAGATACACAATGATAACTGAATGGTCAGTTTTTAGAAATATTCTGTTATATGGAAAAGGAACAGAGTTTGATCATTTAACAAGTGCATCCTGTCTACCAATTTTGCATTCAGCCAATGTTCTATCATTACATTTGTTGATCTCTAAATGTACAGTGTGTACATATTCTCTCCTTCCTGATTGACATTCTGCTGTTTTAAGCTTAATCTCTCAAAAACTGAGCTTTTACCAATCACTTTCATCCAGGGATATATTTACCACAAGGCATTTGCCTATGGCGGCACTTTCAGGGCGCCAAATAAATGCCACCTCAAGCTCCCAGACAAATGCCTTGTTTGCCTCGTGTTCTGGGGCTTTCCACCTTACTGTGAGTGAGTGTAGCTGTCAGTGTGTGTTTGTGAGTGAGAATGGGTGTGCCTGTGAGTGTGTCAGTGTGTGTGTATGTCATTTTATGTGTTTCTGAGAGTGTGTGCCTGTCAGTGAGTGGGTGTGTCAGTGTGTGTCTGTCAGTAATAGTGTGTGTTGGTTAAACAGTGTGTGCCAATGACTGTATCTATCAGTGAGTGTATATCAATGCATGTATCAATGAGGGCATGTGTCTGTCAGTCAAAAAAATGGCCTTGACATGAATTGGGGGGGCAAATTTAGATTTTGTGGGTGCCCGAATTTAGTCGTGCCTAGGGCAGCACAAATCCAAAATACACCACTGCTTTCATATACAATACCCAAACAACATTCATAGTCAATAATGCCAGAGTTGTGCCACCATACCAACAAGCTGCCCTGAGTTTCTATTCAACTCTAGTCTTTCTCATCCATGTACAAGGGAAATACTGGATCTTTCACCAATGGAACACCTGTGGAATGTTTTCATAAAGGAACAGTGGATAAAACCAAACTGCTAATCCTTTAACAAGAAATCTAGAAGACTGCAACCCAGTCCTAAAGAGGTTGATGCCCACCCATATCACCTTTTTTCATAATGAGCATGTGTGCTAGATTCATTTAAATCACTAAAAGTTCATCATCTGTTGTTTTAGTCCATCCCCAGACTACCCACAAGTTCCAGAATAAAATGCAATGCCCTGACCAAGTCAATTTGTCTCCAAATATTCCCCTCTATGCCTTATTTGCTCTGCTCACAACCTATTCTCTCTTCTTCTCTCATAACTTTCAGGCACACGCCCATGCTACAGCTATAGTCTATCAGCGTTTCCTCCACAGTCTACACTTTTATATATACCCTATAAACCAACCTAGCCAGACATGTAATACATACTTCCATAATAAACTAAAATACAAATTTTGCAAACCTACAAACTCCCTTATCCTTCTTTAATCTTACCCATCTTTCACAATCTTATGACTACTCTTATGACTAATCTAAGACTAATGCAGTCTCCTCAACTTCTGTGTCTATCACTGACTCCACCATTCCATTGTACTGTAAGATTTTAAAGTGAACCGTTAATGGAAATTTTCATTTACCTGAAACTGCTGCCATAACATATACCATATATCACAAAGATACATGGTGTTTTCAATGTAAAATATAGAGACTTACTCACTGTTCTACCATTCCAGCACCGCTTCATGTAACATTCACCTCTGGGCCATCCTCTGCTCCACCCAAGCAGTACAAATATCGTCAAAGAAGTGACGTCACGTCATTCCGTTCCTATACTCACAAGTCAAAGCTAGAAGTGCCGGCTAGGGAGTTTCCATAGCAACCAAAGTGCATGAGTTGCAGTTGCTATAGGTGGAGAGGAGAGGCACCTGTGGGAGGTCTTTTCTGCTCTCCCTTGTCAGTCAATGCCTCAGCATGCCAAAGCATTGACTGACAGATGGGGGGAAAAAATGTATAAATTGTTTTTTCTCCTAATTTGTACATTTGTTAGCAAAACCGCTAGCACAATGTACAGATATAATCCTATGCTCAATATAATGAGCATGAGTTGTTTGGGGTATGACAGGTGCCCTTTATGAGAAAAGTCCACTCCTATACTATTATTGCAAAAAGACCCGGTGTGATAAAGTGATGTTAGCTCACTTGTAAAACCCATGTTAAATGCGAAGAGCAAAAGCTTACGGATTGGCATGTTAGTTGCTATTTAGTCAGTATTAATTGAAAATAATATGATGGGGAGAACAACTCAAAAGGAGTGATGAGTAGAGCAATGGATAAGTTGGGTTTAAATTAGGGCTTAGACAAATCACAATCACAAACACATTGCTCACAGATCAAACACACGCACGGACACACAACACTCACAGATCACACAAACAGTGCTCACACCTACACAAACAGTGCTCACAGACCACACTCATGCACACACTAGAACAGTGCTCACAAATCACATCCATAAACACACAGTACTAACAGTTCACACACACACACAGACTACTCACAGGTAATACTGATGCAAAATGTTAAAAGATCACACTGATATGTGCACACTGCTCACACGTACAAGCACGGCGCTCACAGATCACACTTGCTAACACACAGTGACCCATAATTGCATCTCACTCTCAGCCCCTATCGCAACCCTGCCTGCCTGTCCGCATGATGATGTCATTTGAAGAAGGACCTGCTGATTGGACAGAAAGAAGCCAATAGCAAGCTCCTTTCACAAAGCACTCTCATGCTGAGTTTCTCAGAGGAGATTTTCTTCTTATGTTGCGATCACACAGTACAGAGCACTCACAAATCGTAAAAATATGAAAACTGAAAAACGACATTTTTGCAATTTGACCCTACAACTTCTCAAAATCTGTCAAGAGACTGCATGTAGGGTGTTGTAGTATTCTGGGGCAGTTGGAGAATATAAATATGGGGTCTTTATAGTAGTGGGATATGAAAATAAACTGTATGTGAAAAACATGCACAATTAAATGAAAAGAAGGTTGGTGAATAAATTGTTAAATGGAAAGTGCAAAAATACTATTTTACATATCCTGGAGCTGAGGGGTCTACTTTCTACAAATATATACTTTTATTTAGTGGTCTTAGATTCTGTGATTCCTGTTCAAAGTGAACCTGTAATGAAAAACTTTACTTACCTTAAATCAGCTTCAAATACATAGAATACATCATGTATCACAGAAATACATGATGTATTAGATGTAAAGTATCAATATATACTCACTTCACCTGTGTTCCAGTACCGCCATCTTCTGACCTTTGTGGGTGTTACTCTTCGTGTAACATCCAACTCCACTCCGTCCTTCTTCAGTCACCAGTGATTTGCCCTAACTAGGGACAAATCTCCCATGTGAGGCTTCATTGTACGCATGCCAACATCTGAACTATACTCGCTAACCAGCGATAGCAGTGTTGGTAGGGAGTTTCCAAAGCAACCACAACACGTGCTGTGGTTGCTCTGCTTGGGAGAGCAGAAGTACCACCTGCAGGAGGTCATTTCTGCTCACTTTTGCCAGACAAATCTTTAGCCTAGAGCCTATGCGGAAGAGTTAACTGACAGGTGAGAGAAATACATACTTTTTTCCCAAATCTATACATTTCCTAGCAAAGCTGATACATGACAGGTACCCTTTTAAATTATAGTGTTAGTATACCTAATTGTGCAATGGTATACTTTTAAAAACAGATTTCAATCCTTGCAATACTTGTCCTATAACTGTTAAAATCCTAGAAATATGATGCATTTAACAATCAAGACTAATAATTAAAATCCTAGAAATATGATGCATGTAACAATCAATACTAATAAGTATTGAATTATACTTGCATATTTTGTTATGAAGTTATTATAAGCAAAATTTTGATTTTTTTTTTCTTTCATTTTTTCCTCATGTTTTAATATTTTCTTCATACATAATACGGTGTTATAAATACATATAGGTTATCAGAGGCAAAAAAAAGCTGACCTTTGAAAGCTAATATAAAATAAAGTATTCACTCGAATCTAATGCGCATCTTTTTTGGGGGGGGGGGAAAAGTTTCCAAAATTCGAATGCACATTAGATTCGATGGTGCATTACATTAGGGGCAAAATTCCAAATTTTCCGGCAAATTGCAATCTGGTGAATTCAAAGTTGCGGATTCACAGAGGCAAATTCACAGAGGCAAATTGCGTTCCTGAAAGAGGGCTTAATAAAGAATAGACTTAACATGTAACACTACAACTGAAATACCATCAATGTTACTACATTTTTATTGTAGCACAATGTTGTATAGTAGTATCCTCTTCAAAAATTGAGGTGTGCATTAGATTCAATAGCGCATTAGATTCGATTAAATAAGGTATTTATGAATGAACTTCATCACCAACAAACCATATCTAAGTAACTTAAAGAGTTAAGTTATTTAATGCAGAGCTCCATGTAGAAGGATACCAGGCATAGACTTGTCTGCACACACTGTATACCTTAGGTACACAGACACCTCACATATGTTTTCTAAATTCCTGTCAACAGGTGGCACTGTCCTACAAATGCTGCAGTTGCAAACCACAATTCTCATTGTGTGAAATGGAAAATAATTTACCTTCATATTTGTGTAATTAATCAACATTCATAAATGTTCCATCTCTTTTTTTTTGTGCGTGCTACTTTGCATATTCCATGATGGGTGATTTGCAAACAAATGCAGCATTTACACAGTTATATATAAATCTGGATCAGTTGAGAAGCAGATAAATAACAGAATGGGACTGTACAACCAACTCTAAGGCCTAGAAACAATGTTTGAGTGCTATAGTATTCTTATTTAGCACAACATTTTTTGAATCTGGGTTCTTTACATTTATCAATAACATTGTGGTTAACAAAATGTTAGCCTACTACTAGAAAAACAATTTCTACAGAAAACTTACAACATAATTGTGTACATTAAATGTGCATTGTACATAAATCTTTAGGTGGCTCAAGCTTCAGTGTGTCCCCTACTTTAAGTCCAATTTTTTTTTACATATTAGTGTCCCTTTCTTCTTTTTTTTTTTTTTAAATCTACCAATCTGTATTTAGATTTAGAAAGAAAAAGTAAAACATCTAGTTATTTTTGTTACAAGCTAGAGCAGCCGGGAGGCACACAGTGGTCTGCATTCATTTAGTGTAATGAAAGAGGCTGCACTGTGCAAATGGAGATCATGGTTCCTCCTCGTCTAAAACATCAGGTTCTGCATGAATAGGCCCACACTGTGTTAAGCAGCTGATGAATGTGTGGGTGTGTGTAATCTGTGTGTATGTATATCTCACACAAACAAGACAAAAAAGCACGAATGGCTCTTGAATGTTGAAAAAATAAATTGTTGAAGACTTACTAAAGGGTTAAGCAGAATGAACTCTCAGTTCTACCTGCATACCTTCACCTGCATATCTTTAGGAGTATTAGAATATATAAAAATCTGAACTCTTCATGCAAGTATTTCGACTAATAATGTCAATGTCATATGGATGGAAAAATAACTGCAGTAACTGCATATGTATATCCTATTGTATGGGTTTTGAAAAGGTTTACAATGTGTTACAAGTTAATATCCATACCATTAAGTATGTTGAACTAAAATTAATTTTATATAAAATGAACTGAGATTCTTGATTTCACAATATTTTAAAAGTAGCATTTGCATTTACAAGCTGACTGTACATTAACAGAAAACACACACTGTACAAATATTAAACATTAACAATGAGTAGATCAGAAAACCGAAATCAATGCAGTAGACTACGAACAAACAGACACATCACAAGATGCAGAAAATCTTATATAAGATGAGCTACATCGATATGTTGTCCTATTTAATTCAGATTTATATAGCGTAAACATCGTAAAAAGTCAAGACTATAAAAGAGAAAATAATATTATGAATTACATTATACGTGTTAGCAAATCGAAACAGTGCATCTGCAAATTTCTAACAAACGCATTTTAATGATGTAATTTCTCTACATATCCTGATGTAGTTAAGATGTGTAAATTAGCACAATAATGTAACTCATGAATAAAGAAAGAGCAATTCTGGGGCAAGGTGATAAATATGGAGCAATCATTGTAGAAATTGATGTTCGACTGTTGCTACATACATATAGTCAAGTATTTTAATATTCTACTCAGATACTGTTGCTGTGTAATAGCATTTGGTCCATTTTTTATTTTGTGTAGTATGTGTGCATTTAATCTAACTCAATAACTTTATTTATATAAAAATAAAAAATATATATACCACAGTGATCTACAATAGATAGATTAGACATAAAAGTAACTGTGACAAAATGGGTCGGCTAACCTGCAATAAGAGTTGATGAGATGATAACAAAACACGATATACGATTGCATGATATGCTGCTAAAATTGTGTAGTAAATGCACGCATTGATTGCAGGCTATGTCCCTGAATTTGTTTAATATGCACATAAGGTGCACTGATTACAGACTATGCCCCTGTAACTGTAGTAAGCGTGATATGTGCATTAATGCGAATCTAAATCATGTTAGTGTACAATATGTAGAGTCGATCCCTTTTCCTTGGTAAAGAAAATTAGCATTAGTGCACATCTTGTAAGCATATAATAAAGGGTAATACAATGAAATTTATGCCAATTTTACCATGTAGTAAGCATGTAATTTGTATGTACAGTTATTGCAGCACATGGTCATTGAACTACATCCCCCAGTTATTATGAGGCAGGTATATGTGCAGTGATTTGCCCACTTAATGTAGTTAGTATGTAACATTTACAGTGATTACAGTTCATACCCTTGCTACTGTTCAGAAAGTATAAAACAAACAGACACATCACAAGATGCAGAAAATCTTATATAAGATGAGCTACATCGATATGTTGTCCTATTTAATTCAGATTTATATAGCGTAAACATCGTAAAAAGTCAAGACTATAAAAGAGAAAATAATATTATGAATTACATTATACGTGTTAGCAAATCGAAACAGTGCATCTGCAAATTTCTAACAAACGCATTTTAATGATGTAATTTCTCTACATATCCTGATGTAGTTAAGATGTGTAAATTAGCACAATAATGTAACTCATGAATAAAGAAAGAGCAATTCTGGGGCAAGGTGATAAATATGGAGCAATCATTGTAGAAATTGATGTTCGACTGTTGCTACATACATATAGTCAAGTATTTTAATATTCTACTCAGATACTGTTGCTGTGTAATAGCATTTGGTCCATTTTTTATTTTGTGTAGTATGTGTGCATTTAATCTAACTCAATAACTTTATTTATATAAAAATAAAAAATATATATACCACAGTGATCTACAATAGATAGATTAGACATAAAAGTAACTGTGACAAAATGGGTCGGCTAACCTGCAATAAGAGTTGATGAGATGATAACAAAACACGATATACGATTGCATGATATGCTGCTAAAATTGTGTAGTAAATGCACGCATTGATTGCAGGCTATGTCCCTGAATTTGTTTAATATGCACATAAGGTGCACTGATTACAGACTATGCCCCTGTAACTGTAGTAAGCGTGATATGTGCATTAATGCGAATCTAAATCATGTTAGTGTACAATATGTAGAGTCGATCCCTTTTCCTTGGTAAAGAAAATTAGCATTAGTGCACATCTTGTAAGCATATAATAAAGGGTAATACAATGAAATTTATGCCAATTTTACCATGTAGTAAGCATGTAATTTGTATGTACAGTTATTGCAGCACATGGTCATTGAACTACATCCCCCAGTTATTATGAGGCAGGTATATGTGCAGTGATTTGCCCACTTAATGTAGTTAGTATGTAACATTTACAGTGATTACAGTTCATACCCTTGCTACTGTTCAGAAAGTATAAAAACATTTTTCATTACTCTAAATATCCCCATTATTCGATAGTAGACTTGTGTGAATGGACTGCAGGCTGTGCCTTTGTTACTGTGTATGTAACATGTACATTTGCAGCAGTCTGTTCCATTTTAGCTGTGTTGTATAAGTGTAACATGTTTAATCTGCATTGTTTTAGTATTGTGTAGTAGATCTGCATGCACTGATTTCTCAGGTTACAATGCAGTCATTATGTGACATATTTATGTCCTGTAAGAATATAACTTGCAATCATTGTACTGTGTGCATCTGTTAATGTGTAGTAAAAGTTGCATGCACTGATTGCATGTGTTACTATGTAGCAAGTATGTAACGTGCATGAATAGCAATGTGCCCTTTGTTGTATAGCATGAATCTAAGCATGCACAGCAGCTCTATTTGTCTCTGGGTGTGTGTAGTAAGGCACTTTAAATACAAGTACCCTCAACCGAAGTGGATTGGCATGCACTAAGTATGTAACATGTACATTAACAGTAGTTTACGTCCTGCACTATGTATCCCCCTGTATCTGTGTAGTAAGTCTACATGTATAGACTGTTCATGTTACTATGTAGTAAGTATGTAACATGTGCATGAACAGCAATGTGTTTGTGTAGTCCTTTGTTGTATACCATGAATGTAAGCATGCACATAACTGCTCTATTTGTCTCTGGATTTGTGTAGTAAGTCTACATGTAAAGACTGTCCATGTTACTATGTAGTAAGTGTGTAGCATGTGCCTGGCTTCCAAGCAGTATGTGCAGTGAGTGTGCAGGGCCCCCCCAGCCAGGCAGTGGCCCCCAGAGCCCTGTGAGAGCCCTGGGAGCAGCAGCCTGGGAGCTCCTCCGACATGATGCAGTTTACAAAGCAGAGCTGGGGAGAGCAGGCAAGATGGCGGCGTTGGAGCAGAGGGGGAGCCAGCCGGAGAGGCCATGCTCAGCTCCTGCTCCTCCAGCCGCCGGCTCGGGACTGCTCAGCAGGCGGCACAAGGCTCCATCCGGCGGCTCTTACCTGCTGGGGGGGTCGGCGATGCGGGCAGGGCTGCCGCGGCTGCTGCCCCTTGAGATGCAGAGCTGAGTGCAATCTATAATGTCCCTGAGGCTCCGAGAGCAGGGATGCCCAGCCCCAAATAATAGGAGTAAAGGAGAAGGGGGGAGTGGGATACTGCTAGGCACCGGCAGACAGAGGAGGGGGGATCCACATAAACCAGCTAGCAAGGGGGGGACAGAGAGAGAGAGGCAGCCAGAGCAGACATGGGGGGGAGGAGGAGGCAGGGCAAGGCACACATAGCAGGATAGCTTACTACAAGGAGGGAGAGGGGCACACCATGCTGGGAGGGAATCATGGGATGTGTAAGGGGAAAGCAGACACAAAGGAGCTGCTGTGTGCACACTACATGTACAGGGAGAATACTAATGCTCTTTAGTCAGCCAGGCTTTGTACACAGTTCATGGGAACCGTCTCTGTGTAAAGAGAGAGATTTAGAACAGCATGCAGCTGGGCTGGCCAAGTTGTAAGGTTTAAGTTTGGTTCTGAACAAGAGTTACATTGTGTCAGATTGCAACGTTCTATTTATTTGTAACAAGTGAATTGTGCAGAGTGCACACTGCAGTAGTATAACATGACTGTTTTTGTTGTTTTTTTTATACAGGGACATTAGTTTGCACCATTTCACATAGTTTAGGACTTCAGTAATTAGAAACTTGTTTTAGGAAATTAGTCTTTATCTCCACTTGGAGACTGTAAGCTCTGCAGACCAGGATATTAAATGAGGGAGAGAGACTTTACACACTTTTCTTTTGTTTAACAAGATAGAAATGCACAATTGTTCCTTGAATGTAGAAAAATAGTGTTGCAGATTTACTAAAAGGCTAAGCAGACTGAACTCTCGGTTCTACCTTTTTTGTCTAAGCGTAATGGAATAGCATATAGATCATAGGTTTTATTAACATTAAAGCCCTTATGCTTAGTACAACTTAGTGAACATTCCCCCCAACCACGTCACATACCTATATTCTTGTATCACCCGTAGAGTGACAATTTATCCCACAAAATAAATGTAAAGTCATACATATATCTTTTTATGATATATATTTTTTTTCTTTTTAAAGCAATTGTTTGACCAATGGTACATTTTATAATACAAAAGCTTAATTGCATTCCTGCATTGACTCTAAATTGGTTTTACAAACATACAAAATTAAGCCCGGCACTCAAATACCCACTACCCATGGATGGCAGCAATGACTATAGTGCACATCAGCCCCAATACATACAATAAAAACCAAAGAAAAAAGTTACTTGCACACTATCCCAAATCCCTCTGCATATTTAAATAACTGGAGTTTTTTTTACTTTCACTCCAAAGGCCTTTTAAGTGGGGAGCTTACACTTGAATGGCCAATGGAGGGATACAAAAAAACAAAAACGTTATTTAAATGTGTAGAGGGATTTGGGATACTGTGCAAGTAACTTTTTTTTTTTTGCTTTCTAAATTGTTTTTGAGTAGCTACAATTAACTGGAGTTAAATTTTTAAGCACTTTTCAACACGATCTCTGTTTACCAATGGTCATTTAAAGCTGCATTTTAAAATTATATGCAGAATTCTATACTACTGTTCATACAAACCCTTACTAGTTAACCCCTTAAGGACACAGCTTCAGATGCTGGATATACCCTTAAGGACTCAAGCCATTTTTGCATTTTTTGCTGTTTGTGTTCAACTACAATTTGCATCGCTCTCATTTATTGAATCAACACATATTTACTTTGATGTGACTTATACATATATAAAATCTAATTTATTATTAAAAAAAATGAAAAGAAATATATATTTTTTTCACAGTTTTGGCAATAATAGTGTGTGCACAATATGTCCAGCTTAAGAAAAGTAACTAAAAATAAATTCATTTAGGTGTCGTTTTTCAAAGTGCATAATATGTAAAGGATTTCAGCTTATTTTAAAAGTTACAGGTCACAAAATACAAGGAGTAATATAAAATTTAAATGTGAAAAAAATGTAGAAGTTGGTATGTTTGACTTGTAAGTTTAACAGCCGTCACAGAAAACAAAATTGCTACACAAAAGTAAATATTTATATAAAGAAGACGTCATCACAGGTTTTTTAAATGTGTATTTTGTAAAGCTGCTGTGTGCTATTCCTGGTCAAAATCCCATTTTGTGTTCAGCTACATCTGCTGAGTACAACAATACCCCCATTGTATGCCTTTGCCACTATTTTGGGAAGCTACAATGACATATAAGAGGCCAGACTATTTCAGTTTCTACAGTTAGAAAATTCAAAGATGGATTTAATGGACCTATGTCTTATTTTGGGGCATTATAGTAGTTTGGTTGTTCAAATGACCACACAAAGGCCTTCCATTCGTGAAAGTAGACACTCCATGGTATCTCATATGGCATATATTTTGCCTTAGCGTGTCACCATTTATTCACCATTATATGTCAAAATTTGTGTTAAAAAAATATTTTTCACATTTTTTATTTATGCGTTACATTTGTGCTGGGCATTTTGTATATTTGATATGTTCCAATATGATCAAACAACCCAAATTATGCTGAGCTATCTCCTGTGAGTAAAATGATACCCCCAATGTATGCCTTAGGCCGTATTTCCTGAAGCTACACTGCCATATAGGAGACCTGACCATTTCAGTTTTTACAGAATTTTATAGGTTTATGACTCATTTTGGGGTATAATAGCAGGTTGCTTATTCAAACTTCCCCCACAAAGGCCTACCATTTTTTAAAGAAGACACCCCAGGGTATTTCAAAAGGCCCATTTTGAACCTTAGGGTGGGATCATTTTTTCGCTAGTGAGTACCAAGTCTAGTAGTAGTAAGCATTTTCTCTGCCTTTTTGACACTCACTTTGAGATTTTACTGCATAGTTTACAATCCTTAGGTGTGCTACGGCAGTATAACGCTTCATATGTCACTCAGCTATGTAGTCTGAGTACAGCAAAACCCCAGTGTGTACCTTTCCCAGGTATATGTGGATGTTGAAGGGGCAAATTTGAGACTCGGCCATTTCAGGTTTGTTTCAAACTTTGAATTTTCATGCTGGGTCCATGTCCCATTTTGGGTCAAACTCTGAGGCACTGTCTGTCACCTCTGAATCCGCTTTCAGAATTCTCTAACTGTACATCCTAAGCATTTTTAACTTTTTACACAAGAACTTTAACAAAACAATGTTATAATAATGTTATTTTATTTATTGTGGATTTTTTAAAATGTATTTTTACCCCTAGCATACGCACTAAACTCCCCAATTTCCGAGGAACTATCATCCACCACAATTAACTAAATAAAAGTAAAATATATATATATATATCTATATCTATATATATATATATATATATATATATATATATATAGATAGATATATATATAGATAGATATAGATATATATATATAGTCAGTGGTCAAATAACAGAAGAACTACAACAAGAATATTAATTGTATTGAGAATTTATTGGCCCTGAGTATGAAATAATTTAAAA